TTGGTATAAGTTATCTATAAGTTATCGATACGTTCTATATTAGTTACTAATACATTATGTATACGCGTCCAACTCGTTTTGAATACGCTATGTATACGCCCAAAATTGAAAAAAAACGTCGATAGTTCAGCGTATGCCAGCGTTTTAGAGAAATTTTGATACGTCGGCATACGCTGGCTAAATTGTCAAGGTGTGACAGGGCCACGTTGTCGTTGTCGTTGTCGTTGTCGTTGTCGTTGTCGTTGTCGTTGTCGTTGTCGTTGCAGCTGCTACTGCTGCTGCTAACTGCTACTACTGCTGCTGCTGCTACTGCTGCTGTTGTTGTTGTTGTTGTTGTTGTTGTTGTTGTTGTTGTTGTTGGTATTATTATTATTATTGCTGTTATTGACATTATCGTTGTCATTATCATTGTTGTTGTTGTTCTTGTTTATGGTCTCGCTCACGTAGCTGTACATGTAAGCCGTGAATCACCACAAGATGGCAATTATGACTCGTGACACTGGATCGCACCATCCGGTCCACATTCGCACACACAGCTTGCAGGCTACATGCAGCCATTTAACCGATTAATACTGCGGCGGGGAATCTACAGCCGTTCACGAAGCTTACCGATCCTGGCAAGCGGAGGCCAATGTTTCCGTAATCGCCAGCAGCAGTGGCTGTGCGCTGCTACTGCTGCCTGATGATTAAACATGGCGAATGTCATTGAGCGAGCTTTCAAAAACAGCCGCGATTGTCTCTCAAGGCACCAACAAGAATCCCTGTGACGATGCCTGTGCATGCGTATCACCTGATTCTATTCACAAGGAGTAACAGTAACTGACGCCTTCTACCTAGAGCCAAATAACATCCATCGATGGGGAAGTTTTACAGAGGGATGCCGAGTAAAGAAACTGTGTGGATTTAGGATCCGCCGAATAAGGCAAAGTTATCGTGGGCAAACTATGTGCTAACTGCATAGGTACGAGCCTCATAAGCAATTAAGAATCCTGCGCACGCTCACATACAGCACAGGAAATATCTCAAAAACACAAAATACTACTGCTTAATTTATATACAAACACGAAAACACCACTAGAACATTCACTATGCATCAAATTTGTCACTAACCAATTTCACAGACAAGGCAATTGCAATCCTGAAAAATTTTAATTTGGCATTTGGCATTTGGTTCTCTTGGGAATTCGACGAAGGTACATTTTGTCATCCAACATGCGCAGCCAACGACTCATATTTTAAAAGCAATATTTGCACGACAATGTTCCAACAGGTATTCACATTCATCGAAGTAAAACCCTTAGCATTAACCGTGATCAGATAGATAATATATTCTACACAAGGCCACTCACTGCCTGATGTAACCTATCAGCAATATTTGATCAGTTTTAACAAGAACATGTAACAGTTGTGTATGTGGACATAAGGCAGTTGTATGTAACAATATGCACCACACGATTAAAACCATTGTTAACATTTGGGATAAATAGTGAACGTAAGAAGATAAATGCAGTGTTATGCTTATTAAGCATTCATTAGTAAAGACAATGGGTGTATAAATTTACTAATTGTCTAAATTACTATTATAATGATAAACATAGATGATAACAGATACCACGTAAATATATCTGTATGAATGAAACCGAAACTATCTTTCCAAATATTCTATTCTATAACATTAACACACAATTCGATATTTATACTATTTGATTTTACAAACTATACAACATTTCGTGTAGAAACAATGAATATACAACGGTGGGTTTTAATCTTGATTGTTAGATATCTACTTCTATAGAATATCAATAGATTCACTAAAATCATATAACATAACAAGGCCGAGTTGCTAGCTGCATAGAGCAGGTATAAATAGAATTTGATTGCAGCCCGCTTGGATAACTCTAGGACACGAATAAATAGCATCCCCAACTACCTTAGTCAGCTGGCCAATACATAAATGGGATATTTTCCACTTTATATCAACAGAGATGACATGTAGTCATTCCCCTCTGTTGGAATGTAATCAATCATTCAATCTCAGCTGCTTAGAACACCACCACCGATCGTGGAAGCTGTGAAAGGTTATGGTACAATAGCAAAACACACACTACTAGTGTGACGCATTAATTTTGATATATGCTCCTACCTGCATCTTCACCGAAACAATGATAGATGTAATGTCTGTGTCCAGTTGCTTCAAAACCTGCAGTCTCGTCAAGTTTAGTGTGCATAACCTGAAATCACACCATTTCAAAAGATGAATGTCTGTCAACACATGACCCACAAATGAATGCCAAAACTACACATGAAACATACATGGCACGCATACAATACCCGGCACCCCTTACTCTCACTCAACACCTCAACATAAGCTAAGTGAGTTACTAATACTAATGAGTTCATCAGTTGACAAGAATTATCCTATACATACATGCAAGTTGTAAACGTATTTTCCCATCAGTTCAATTTAATTAATGATTATCATGACATACAGTATTTAGACCAGACACACATACCTCTGTCACACTACACAATAATTATTCTCAACTTAGTGCGAATCCCCATATTGCATATATCGAAAATATGTCACAATTACAAATTCACAAGAAAGTTATGCTAGCCGCACTCTATACGATTTTGCTCGGGCCGCAGTTGTAAGCCCTCGCACACCATACGCTCGGCAGCCGATCGATCGGGAGGCCCCCGCACACTGTACGACTCAAAGTCGGCGCTAACCATGGCGCTCTCGTGGCATTCCAAGCGGATTTAGTGTGTACTAAGGGTCGGGAGTGTTTCCCCGCCATTTTGACCGAATGCGGTTCCCACGACGTTGCTCTGTGATTGGACAATTTTCTTCAGCGCTCGGCGGCGGGTCGGATGGCCACGCACACTATCCGAGTCGCGTCGTATACCCTCGCTCACTATACGACCCGCTCCGCTCCCGATTCAAAATTCGAAGATGAAAGATGTAAGGGCAAATATACTTGGAGTCAAAACAACCTCAAATCTGCGGTAGACTTGAAAATAGAAAGTTGGAACCATATATTAAAAAGATAGACATTTATGATGAAAGGCATTTTGCTGGTTATGCTTGTTGGAGCTCCTCATATCACTCCATGCAGCGTGCCATTCTCTACTGTTTACTTGTTCGTTTACTTGTTCCCCTTCGAATTTTAGTTTTCGTATTTTTCTGTACTTTCTGTTGGCCTCCTGTTTCTCTTGTCTCGCGCTTTTACAGCTTTGGTCAAACCAAGGTCTATCCTTCCTCACCCCTGCTTTGCCTGACGTTCTGCCTATAGCTTTTGTTCCCGCCTCTGCCGAGGGCCTTCACTATAGACCTCTCCAATGTTTCAGCATCCTCATAGGGCGGGTATAT